GGTGGGCACCGGGGCGGCGCGGCGCGGGCTTTATGTAAATGGGGCGCCCTAGGTAGGACGGCCCAGCCCCCCGCGCCTCGGGCCTCACGTCCAATAAGAGCCGCCCCTGCTTGACACCTGCCTATATACAGGCGAGCGCGCCCCCGGCCCTCGACCGCGCGCACAGCCCGCACAGCCCACGCCGCGGGCGAGCGACACGTCGGCCCGCCACCATGACTTCCAGCAAGATCGAGATGCCCGGCGAGGTGAAGGCCGACCCCGCCGCCCTCATGGCGTCCCTGCACCTCCTGCCGTCGCCCACGCCCAACCTCGAGATCAAGTACACCAAGGTAAGCGGTCGGCGAGCGTCCGCCGTCCACGCAGGCTTTCTAGAAACGTCCCGCCTCGCCACGAGCGCCGTAGGGGTACGAGGTTGGGGTGACTCAGCCGGGCTGGGGTCCGGCGGCAGGCCTGTCATCCTCGCGCTGCGGGGGCACGCCCCGTCTTCGTGACCCGGGCGCTGGAAGTCCCGTGCGGTCTGGGGACGCCTCTGGGTCTTGTCCGACCCGAAGCGCCGCGCCAAGGGCCGCCGTCAACGGCCGCGAGTCTGTGACTGGTTTTTGTCGTTTCCCCGCGCCCCGACGGCCGCGGAGAGGGCGTCGGAACCACTTGGTCCCCTCAGATGGGGACAAGGGGTTCCCCGCCTGCTGGCCTCGCAGCCCGGCCGTCGCTTCTCGCCATCCGACCTCGCGATCGGGTCCCAGGAGCCCGCTCTGCGCAGAGGCGCTTTCCCGGAGGAGACGATCAGGACCCCAGGGCTCAGGCCGAATCGCCAAATTTCACGGAAACCTGGCCGAAAAGTGCAATGGACCCAGTGTCAGCATTTTCCTTGAATTTTGCAGGCAGTAACCTTTTCCTTGGACAACCTGAAAAGTCTTTACGTTTGTGCAAGTTAGCGGGTTCGCTTGTGAGCTGAAAACTTCGTTTCTATAACGAACTCTGACATCTGGGCTTTGCCAAGGAGGACTTTTTGTGGTTGTCGTTACATCGCATAAGAGAAATTATGCATCCTCTACCTGATGCGTCCTGAATTTGCTTGCTTTCCACAAATTCAGCACAGGAAAAATTGGTAAATTATACACACGAAGGGAACGTGGACTGTTATATAGCATTTGGGGACAATGGAGATAGATGGTATTTAAAATCAGATTTCTCGGAGTTAATTTTACATTTCTTTGATTTCTCTATTCTTTTCAGTAGATTTCGACCTCAGACGACTTCCGATTAACTTGAACACACAGGCGCACACACAGCATGGTTAAAACTGTATTTCATCGTACTTATTATAAATGTCTGGAGAAATAAGTTGTTGGGTCTGGCTTAATGGCTGGACGAGAAATTGGAAAAAATAGAAATTTTGCTTGTATTGAGTTTTAGGAGCCAAATCAGGGCGATTCGTGGTTTGAGTGTCGATTTAAAAGGATTTGATGTACCTGTTAGCTCTTTTAGATGGTGTGACAAATTTTTCAAAGCCGTTTTAATGGGAGGTCATTAATGGTTATAGCCTTTTAGGCATTGTTTGCATAACAGTAGTGCCAGTGTGTGGCACATCTCCTGCCGTAGGGGCAGGGAGAGACAGCCTGCAGCATACAAGTTTTGTTTTCTGAGGTCCCTAACCTCTTCAGGCTTTCTTTAAAGGTCCTAATAGGTAAGATCTACTAAGCAAAAGGACCCAAACCTCGGATTTGGGAGGGTTTGATTTTATCTTTTATCAGATTTTAGTAAGTGCTTCTGAGAAAAGTTTTAGCTATCCAGTAGACTCTTTTTCAGAATTTAATTTGGAAAGTCTTTCAGTTCTTTTTTCCTAACTACCTCCTCTCTCTTTTCTCTTGTTCTCCTCAGTAGGAAAGACAACTGATTTATAGCTAATTGGAACCTTTAATGTGGAGTCTTTTCGCTCTGGGAAGACTTTTATCCAGTATCCACTTTCCCACTTATAACAAAGAAAAACAATCACAAATGAAATAATGGAGTGTAACTTGATTCTTTAATTTGTGGGGAGGAGGCATCTTATTTTTGTTTAGACAAACAGCCCTCATAAACACTGAGTTATTAAGGTGAGCTCTTTCACAAAGTCTGTAAAATCAGGTATCTGTGAACATTTCCAGCAACTTTCTCCCTCATTTCTTTAGTGAGACTTCTAAATTTTCTTAGACGGGCATTGTGGATGAGGATTTGTTTTGTTTTGTTGTTTGTTTTTAACATAAAGAGCAGAAGCTGCTCTTTTGATTAGCCCAAGGTAAAAGATAATTCTTCTTATTATTTTACTAATAATGAAAATAAGATTAATGAAGAGTTCTTTTTAAATTCACTGATGATTATAAGGGTAATTATATTAGCAATTTCATAATTAAACAACAATGAACAAAATAAAATGGGCAGTTAGTCCTCTAGAAAAGTAATACCATGATCATTAAGAAATTTGAAAAGGGTAATGACCAGAAATACTATGCTTTAGGGCCTGTTGAATAACACATGAATCAAAGGCAACATTTGCACCAGACAGTGGTACTGTAAGACAAACAGAGGTACCCTTAATTAATCATGTTTTCATCTTTAGTGAGGGATATTATAGTATGATTTTTTTGGATGATTTTTCAGTGTGATTTTTGGGACCCACATAAACACGCTAATTAAAAAATTAGATTTTGAAAATTTCAAGTAGCGTGCACTTAGAATACTTTGCACGTGTGATCTGGTATTCTTCTGTATTTTTTTCCCACCATCTTCTTCTACAAGTATTTTATATTTCTTGTAAAGGAAATGGGGAGATGACCAGAATCAAAAGTTACCGTCTGCCTGTCAGAGGTCCTGTGAAAACGCTCCAGATTAAACTGTGATCCCCAAGGATGCTGTAACGCTAAACTCGTGGTTTTGTATTGACCACAATTGCATCAAGCAATTACGTTCTGTTTTAAAAATAAGCTTACCACTCTGAAGTTCTAAAATCCTTTTTTTGACTAATGGTCAATGTGGCAATATCATTTGGGGAATATGTCTATTTCTATTTTCCTAATGGAGCAAGCTGGACCCCAAGTTTTAAGAATGATTCTTTCTTTACTAAGGAATATGTTTTGTTTTGATTTTTTTTTTTTTTTTTTTTTTTTTTTTTTTTTTTTTTTTTTTTTGTCAAGGAAGGGTGGTAACTGACATCATGAACTATTGAGGGGACCATTTTGGAGCCCAGAGAATATGCACTTTCTTGCTTATATCCTAAGAAGACTGTTTAACAGCTAGAGTAAGATATGCATTGCATTTAGCTATGCTTTCACAAATCTACATCTTCTGGGTTGTTTCTGTTTCATAACTCCAGTTTTTAGATTTTGTATAGCTAAATGCATTATAAAGATACCCACATGGTAAAATCAAGGCTAAAGGCTTCACTAGCTGCAGGAGAGATCTCTTTCAGATTTCCAGCTCTTTGGAAACTTTGCTTCCTTTATCCCACTTCTAACTTCTTTGTTGACTGTATCTGCTCTTATGGCTCTACTAGCAATAGAAGCAACACAAAAAAATAAAGATTAACCCTTTCTCTCAAATACCGTTAGGCAATACAAAGCCTTGTGCTGCCTCCTCCCCATCCCGCACACAAACATCGTGCAGTCTCTCTGTTGGTCACTTTTTCAGTGAGCGTTTTTTTGTCCACGACTAACAGTAGCATAAAGGATTATGTTTTCTTCTAGCATCTGCTTCTGTGAGGAGTTGAAACAGAAGGAGGAAGGGGATATTTCTTGAGTATTGACCTCCTAAACTAGAAGAGAAAAAAATAAAAAGCAATCAACTGAAAAATTAGAGCTGATGTACATTGGGTATTGCCTATTGTTTATTCTTTGGCTTATTAACTTAACAACATTTGATTGAACCTTCTGTTTTCTGGGGTCAATTTTTATTCAATTCAAAGGATATTTGCATGGCCATGTTCCTAACAATGGTGTGCTCCACTATGCTGGTTGGAGTGTGGAAATGTCTGCCTCATGGAAGCTTAGGGTCATATTGGAAAGATTGTGTGCCCAAAATTGGTTGTCAGTAAACACAGCATAGCTTAGTTGTTCAATGTAGTAATAATACTAATAATCCTTATAATGCCTTTAGATTTTTGTATAGGGCCCAGTGGCTTTCTTAGTATTTTCAAATATATCTTTTTTGATCCTTGTTTGAGCCTTGTGAAACCTTGTGAAGGAAATAAAAAATAGGAATAATTGATAAGGAAGACCTTGACTTTTGAAAAAATGATAGAACTTTCTCCACCAAACGTTACTTTTCCAAACAATGGTGACATATAAATTTATCTTTCATTTTTGAAGAAGTTTAAATATTTTTTGGTGTTGCTTCTATGGCAAGCATGGAGAAGATACGAAATGATCTACTCTTCTTAAGAAGGAACTGCCTTTTTATGGCTTTTCATTCCTGTCTTTAAATTGCTGTATTTGATATTTCTATGAGTTTTTTTTTTTTTTTTTTTTTTGGTTTTGGTCTGAGGCAAAGACCTGGGAATCATTTCCTAGAAGATAGCTGTGGGTCAAGCTCCACCCAAGCCTTTACTCAAAATGATCTATTCTGATCGGAAATTGTCAATTAAATCGCATGATTGTAGCCTTTAGGTTTTTAAAAAATACATTTTTATAACCATACAGTATTTATTATATATATATATAAAACATATGTGTGTGCGTGTGTGTGTGTGTGTGTATATATATATATATATAAAATTTCCATTATCCCAGGGAAGCTGAGCAACTTCTTGGTAGGACTTGAATTAGATAATTCACCTGTGATCCTGTCTTGATGCCTTCTACTATACAGGCTTGTATTACCATATGGAACCATCATTTGTTGAGGCCCTCTTTATCCTTTTCTATTTCTGTAAAATGACGAATGATAGTTTTTCTGTTTCAGAGTAGGAGATTCTCGGAGGAGTTTATTCTGTAAAGTCTGATTTATTTGTAGCCAAGCTGAAGAAAAGCCAGGCATGCCCAGTTAGTTCTATTGCATCACTGAAGCACAGTAATCTAACCATGATCAAACCATTAACTTATCTCAAATCTCAATACACACTATTCTCTCTCTCTCTCTCTGTCTCTTTACATACACACACACACACACACACACACACACACACACACACACATATATATATGTAGATACCTTTTGGGGAGTTATCTTAGTTTATATAATATATATATATATTAGTTTTCTTATTGACAATTTGCAAGGGTCGGTAAACTACAAACTGCCTGGTTTTGTAAATAAAGTTTTACTGTAACACAACCACAACCACACCCATCCAGTT